TATATATATATATATATATATATATATATATATATATATATATATATTTACTTCCCTAAAAATCAGAAAGATCTTGGGGTGGCTCACGCTTAAAATAGAGGACAGATTAAAAAAAAAAATACACCCAGGAAAGCAGACGCCTTCTCGGTGCTGTGGATAACAGCCTTGTTTTCCTGATCCTGAGCCTCCCGGAGAAAGAGGTATAGTAAAAGTGCAGCTGGATTCAACACCCCCTCCCTTTCTCCTTTTTCTTCTTCTTCAAAACATGATTCTGATTTTTCTATCTATAGAGTGAGTCAGAGAAGTGTTAGGAAGGAGCTGCAACTAATGTCTGTGAAGGGAGGAACATGAGGCGATAGTGAATGCGATTTGTTCCGCTGGATCTGACTCATCCAGCAGATTGGAACACCTGAATTTCTGGACGTGTCATTCACTTATTTTGAGGGTGTTTTAAGAACCTGAAATTAAAAAAAAAAAAACAACAAAAAACCACTTCTATCTAATAGCCCCTCGAAAGGTAAATCGTCCTGACTTGGCTTACTGCTGCTGTTGCTACTCCCTTATACCAAGATGTCCAGAAAGACTGTTTGAGCTTGAGACTGCAGAATGCATTACACCAAGCATTAATTTGTGTTTGTTTAATCCATTCCCCTTCCAAACAAAACCAAAAAAAGGACATACTTTGTTCGCTTAAAATATTTACCACTTTTATTCATCGCCAAGATTTTCTTTTCTAAATGAAGAGGATTGGGAGGCGGCAGTGCCATTGGAAGGAGATGCTGAATAGAAAGAAAAAAGAAGCACTTGACAGCACAGCCCTGTGAATGCAGAGACTGTTTCCCTTTTAGCCACAGAGTGTATGTATGTGTGTGAGTACTGGGTGGATTTTCTCGCTTTTCCTTTTTTTTTCCCTCCCCCAATTCTGAGCATTCAACCATGGGTTGCCTGTTGATTTCCTTTCCATTGGAGAGGAAAGCAAACTGGAATTAAACTGCATCGAGCAAAGTGTTGTTCCTGGGAGGATGTGGTGGCGGCGGCTGCTACTGGCCTGTCTTAGAGAAATCCAAGAGTGTATATGCGAATGAACATAGACTGAGATTTTTTTTTTCTTTCCTGTACTCACATACGCATCCACACTGCTGCTGCTGATCTGGTTGGGGGTTTCCTAGTTTCGGGAGAGCATTTTTCAAGACGAGAGGGCGGAGGCTGGTAAAGGAAGGAAACTACAAATCCGGACACTAGTTCTTTGCTCTGCATTTCCCCCCCTCCTCCCTGGGGTTGCTTGGAAAGGAAAGGGAGAACTACGCCTGCCAGCGAGATGCAGTCCGCCGCCTCTGCCGCCGCCGCTGCAAGCAATGCAAGATTAGATCTCTAAATGCAGCAAAACACTCCCTGAAAACCAACAAGCCCGCGGGGCCACCAGACATTTCTCTGTACACAAGGGAGGGCTTCAAATCTATTTCCGAGACTCGTCTGTTTCCTTTCCCTTATCCCCGTCAATCTCATCACGGGAGATGAGTAACAAGTAAGGATTTCACTTTACAATCCTGCTTAGAGACACACCTCCCCGCTCTCTTTATCTCCCTCCGCCTCTATTTTTAATAGTATTTCGGAGACTGCGTGTGAGAGTGGCTTTTCAGCGTACTGGTGGAGGGGGGAAAAGAAAAGAAAAGAAAAATCCTGTGTATTTTTAAAACCCATTATCGCTGCCTCCTCCTTCTCCCTCTCCCCCCGCCCCGGACGATTTTTTCTTCTTATCATCCACCTCATCACTGAAGTTTGTGCAGCCTGAACTAGAGCCGGGGTTTTCCTGTAGATACGAAGCACTTGTTTTACCCCTGCGCTCGGAAGCTGCTTTTATTTTCACTCAGTGACCCTAAAGCTACGGTCCATTTGCTGCTCCTCGCTCTGGGCAGATGCTGTAGCTCAACAGGTTCAAGGAACTTGGGGAAGAAATAAGAAGATCCTGAATCAAAAAGCAGCTAGAGGGAGAAGAGATACAGACCCTGTCTCACGGACACACACACAGGAGCACACACACGCACGCACACACACACAGAGCCCTGTTGTGTGCACGCTTGCGGCACACAGACACGCAGAGTCTTGCAGCTTCTGCCCCCACCCCGTTGGTCTGGGATGTACCTTTCCATCTGTTGCTGCTTCTTGCTCTGGGCTCCCGCCCTCACGCTCAAGAACCTCAACTACTCGGTGCCCGAGGAGCAAGGGGCCGGCACCGTGATCGGCAACATCGGGAAAGATGCGAGGCTGCCGCAGCAGGGGCTTCTGCCCCCTGAGCGAGGCGGCAGCGGCGGCGGTGTCAGCATCGGGGCCGGGCGCGGCAAATCGGGCAGCTTCCGCGTCCTGGAGAACTCGGCGCCGCACTTACTGGACGTGGACGCCGACAGCGGGCTCCTCTATACCAAGCAGCGCATTGACCGCGAGTCCCTGTGCCGCCACAACGCCAAGTGCCAGCTCTCCCTAGAGGTCTTCGCCAACGACAAAGAGATCTGCATGATCAAGGTGGAAATCCAAGATATCAACGACAATTCGCCCTTCTTCCCCTCCGACCAGATTGAAATGGACATCTCAGAGAACGCTGCTCCGGGGACTCGCTTTCCACTCACCAGCGCCCACGACCCCGACGCCGGTGACAACGGGCTCCGCACTTACCTGCTCACCCGCGACGACCACGGCCTCTTCGCCGTGGACGTCAAGTCCCGCGGAGATGGCACCAAGTTCCCGGAGCTGGTGATTCAGAAGGCACTGGACCGTGAGCAGCAGAATCACCACACCCTAGTGCTGACCGCCCTGGACGGCGGAGAACCGCCCCGTTCCGCCACCATGCAGATCAATGTGAAGGTGCTCGACTCCAACGACAACAGTCCGGTCTTCGGGGCCCCTTCTTACCTCGTGGAGCTGCCCGAGAATTCCCCACTGGGCACCGAGGTGATTGACCTCAACGCTACAGACGCCGATGAGGGCCAGAACAGCGAGGTGCTGTACTCCTTCAGCAGCTACGTGCCAGACCGGGTGCGCGAGCTCTTTTCCATTGACCCCAAAACGGGACTGATCCGCGTCAAGGGTAACCTCGACTATGAAGAGAACAGCCTGGTGGAGATTGACGTACAGGCCCGGGACTTGGGGCCCAACCCCATTCCGGCCCATTGCAAGGTCACGGTCAAGCTGATAGACCGCAACGACAACGCGCCCTCCATAGGCTTCGTCTCGGTGCGCCAGGGGGCGCTGAGCGAGGCCGCCCCACCGGGCACTGTCATCGCCCTGGTGCGGGTCACTGACAGGGACTCAGGCAAGAACGGGCAGCTGCAGTGTCGCGTCCTGGGCGGAGGAGGGGCGGGAGGGGGACTTGTAGGGAGCGGGGTCGGAGGCCCAGTGCCCTTCAAACTGGAGGAGAACTATGACAACTTCTACACTGTGGTGACTGACCGGCCGCTGGACAGGGAGACCCAGGATGAGTACAATGTTACCATCGTGGCCCGGGACGGAGGCTCGCCCCCTCTCAACTCCACGAAGTCATTCTATGTGAAAATCCTGGACGAGAATGACAACCCGCCCCGCTTCACCAAGGGGCTTTACTTACTGCAGGTGCATGAGAATAACATCCCCGGTGAGTACCTGGGTTCTGTGCTGGCACACGATCCCGACCTGGGCCAAAACGGCACCGTTTCCTACTCCATTGTACCCTCGCATATCGGGGACGTGTCCATCTATACCTACGTGTCTGTGAACCCCACGAACGGGGCCATCTATGCTTTGCGCTCCTTCAACTATGAGCAGACCAAAGCCTTTGAATTCAAAGTACTAGCTAAGGACTCTGGCGCCCCGGTTCACTTAGAGAGCAATGCCACGGTGCGAGTGACTGTCATGGACGTGAACGATAACGCACCTGTCATTGTGCTGCCCACCCTGCAAAACGACACAGCCGAGCTGCAGGTGCCCCGGAACGCCGGGTTGGGCTATCTAGTGAGCACTGTGCGAGCCCAGGACAACGATTTCGGGGAGAGCGGGAGGCTCACCTATGAGATTGTGGATGGAAATGAGGACAAACTGTTCGAGATCAACCCGTCCAGCGGCGAGATCCGCACCCAGCACCCCTTCTGGGAGGACGTGACCCCCGTAGTGGAGCTAGTGGTGAAGGTGACGGATCACGGGAAGCCCTCCCTCTCAGCCGTGGCTAGGCTCATCATCCGCTCGGTGAGCGGCTCGCTTCCAGAGGGTGTGCCCCGGGTGAACGGCGAGAAGCGCCGCTGGGATATGTCCCTGCCACTGATAATCACCCTAAGCACCATCTCCATTATCCTCCTAGCGGCCATGGTCACCGTCGCGATCAAGTGCAAGCGGGAGAACAAGGAGATCCGGACTTACAACTGCCGCATCGCAGAATACAGCCACCCGCAGCTAGGCGGGGGCAAGGGCAAAAAGAAGAAGATCAACAAGAACGATATCATGTTAGTGCAGAGCGAGGTGGAGGAGAGAAATGCCATGAATGTCATGAATGTGGTGAGCAGCCCCTCCCTGGCCACCTCCCCCATGTACTTTGACTATCAGACCCGCCTGCCCCTCAGCTCGCCCAGGTCTGAGGTGATGTACCTGAAACCTGCTTCCAACAACCTGACTGTTCCTCAGGGGCATGGGGGCTGCCACACCAGCTTCACTGGACAAGGGACTAATGCAACCGAGACCCCCTCCACTCGGATGTCCATAATTCAGGTAGGAGACTTTTAGCATAACCTGGGACTTGACTTTAAAGCTTTGTTTTTGGAGTTGTCCTGACACCTATCGAACAGGACTGAGACACTGCCAGCAGCAGTGAAACCCTCTGGTTTACATTCTGAATACTGTGTGTGTACATACTATAAGATATACACAGAAGTATCATCCATGTATGTAAATAACAGCACAAAAATTACAAGATGTAAATGTCTTGTTTCTGTTACTTATTTTAACGTGTTTTTTTTTTTTAAATAGACTTCATTTAAGAAAGTCATTGAGCAGTGTTCAGTGTTTGTGGTTTGGTTTGGTTTATCTTTTATTAGTACATATTTCGCTTCATAACAGACAACAAAGAACCCTCCCACCTTTGGGAACTTTTGTTTGACTTGCTAATGGTTCTTTGTTAACACTGCAAAAAAAATAATAATAATAAATGTTATGCTACAAAATGAAAGGGTTGTCATATTGGAACAACAAAAATAGCAGTCAGATTTCCAGTAGCCTGGATCAGTGTGAACTATTGTTTACACTAATATATTTTAAATATAGTTTTATCAAAGCACATTTTAAAAATACATGAATCTAGTTTAATATTCAGCTTGAACTACACCTCATTCACTAGAGTAGTTTAAACTTTCAAATCACAGATATGCTTTGAAACTACATTTTAAAAGTTTGGATGAAGAAAGGCTCTGGATAATGACTATTACTATATTTGAAATGTCCCATTTATGTTGTCCACTTGTTTTTCTAATATTCTCCTCTGAGTCTTTGGAGAAGTGAACTGAGTGTATCAGAAAGAAGTAACACAGACTCATTTTGTGTTCCCGGAAAATGGGAGGAAAAGTTGCACTATAGTCACTTGATGTACCAAAAAAAAAAATTAGAATGCAGTTAAATTAATGAATTGTGTATTTGACATGAGCAGAGAATTTCAAATTCCCCAATACTTTAAATAAATATGTGTATATAAATACGTATATACACACCTATATATTCTATGCTTTAAATTGAAGGCCATTGACACATGGCAAAGAGAAAAATCCTGATCTTTGATCCAATATAGGTATGTATTTTGATAATTGCAGGAAAACTCCCTCTGCACCAGTCAATTGGAGCTATTCCTCAAGCCATTGTGGAGTTGTATCACAGCAGCAACTTCATTTTATGCTTATCGTGCATTTGCATTACTACCAATTATTTTAGTGGAGAAATACTTGAACTTTAAAATTAAGTTTATCAGAAAGTGACACTTAGGGAAGATGAACAGTGGGGGTAAAAGCGAGGTAATTTGATTTACACTTATGTGCTTTAAAAGTCATAACTTTTGATGGCACTTGTTTTGGGTAGGTTTTTTATTTATTGTTAATTGAGTGCTCAAAATGCTAAGTCCACTTTTTTTTGTTTTTGCTTTTTCATATAACTGTAATAGTTTCTTAAAAAGAAGCAAATTATATTTTCCCACAATCATGTAATGTCTCCATAAAGTAACTAATACATGTACTGATTAATGCTACTGAATACGAAGCTATCATTTGTAGTGTTAAATCCCAATGGTTGGAGGTTTTTTTTTTACAGTGTTTACTGTATACTTAATCATGATTTTTTTTTTTTTGGAGATCTATATAAAACTGAAAGAGGAAATTCCTCCCTTAAAAAGGTGTTTTGTGGTTTCTATGAAAGTCTTTCTGTGGCTATTAAATTTGCTTTTCGTGGTCATCTACATCTCTAAGAGAAAGAGAGTTTTATGGTAAAAAAAAAATTTTATAATAGGCAGTCACCACATAAATGCACAAATACATTGCCTTCATTTTTTTTTTAACTTCCTTGCCTAAAAAGCATAACATGGTGGATAGGTGCCCAGTCTCTCACCATCTATTTCCACAAGTCAAATTCTTATTGGAGTACCAGTGGAAATGGAATTGGAGTAGCAGAATACCTAAACAGACTGAGCAGGATACACCTGTGATTGAATCAGCCAGACCGTTTTGAGGGGACAGGTTCCAAGTGTTTCCAGAAACACTTGGGAAGGCTTTGATCCATCCTAAACTAGAATCTAGTCAATACACTGAGTTCTTTTTTTTTTAAATCAGTTCCAACACAGAAAATTTAATATTTAGTTCCCCTTTCCCTATCATAATACATTTCAACAAAATACATAATAGACATTGTTCATGGAATTGGTTTTAGTTTTAGACCCTGAAACAAGTTTTGGTCTAGACATGGCATTCATTAGTGTGGGACCTCCACTAAAGCAGATCAGCAATTTATATAGTCTTTGACAGTTGTCTGGAATGAAGAGGGGGCACTGAGAGGTTATATGACTTGCCCAGTCAGACAGAAAGTCAGATCCTATATGAGACTTGAACTCAGTCTTTCAGAACTCTGAGGCCTATCCTCTATCCTCTCATAATATTTTTATCAATATAATTTTCATCTTTATAATTTATTTTGCAAAGTGGTCCTTCCTCTGGTGTTTCTATAAGTGGCTTAGAATGCCTTCAAAAACACCCTTGGGGACTTGCCTCCTTTATTTGCCCACTTGATCAGGATTGGACACTTTGGCCTGTGTTGCATACCTATATATAATTACCTTTTAGGTATATATGGTTTAACTCTAAATATAATGTATATGATATAATGTATACGATGCATTAAATTAAGGGCAATGAACGATCCTTTTAATTTAGTTATGTTTTGCAAATGCTTTAACATGGAGCATAATACCTGAATCACCTAGGTACACCATCATCTTATTTCAGGTCAATGAGTTGGTTGTATGCTCTTAAACTAACATGGTGGAAATATACAACTCTGAATAAAAACTTGACAAGAACTTCTGGGGAGATATAGCTATGTAATATGTGTTTGATTTACTTATGAAAGCAAAGGAAGTTCAATACTTGCACTGAGGTACACATATGAGTATGTTAAGGACGAACAGAACTATTGAATCTTACGTTTTATGTCATCCAAAGAAGAGTCATATATAAAACCAATATGAGAGCTTCACAGATTCAAAAATTTGGCTATACTTTGTAGGCATGTCTGTGGCAAAACCATACTTTAACTGAATACAGATACAACATTAAGAATTTTATTTGTGCCACACCCAAAATAATGTACTTTTTTTTATTCACTGTTAAGATTAGGATAAATTCTAATATAATATTTGTCAGCTAGAGTAGTAGAAAACCAGACTTTGTGCAATAACATTTAATTATCAGGTGTGTTTTTACCACAAATTCTTCAAAGAAAAGCATGACAATGTAAAGATGGATAAATTGAAATAACATCTTTCATATTATCTAATTATATTCCAAAGCTTAGCCAATGTATACCAGAAATAGAAATATCTTTTGATATATGTTTAAATATTTCATTAATTTAAAGTATATGATTAGAAAACATACTATAGCCACCTTCTTTGGGGAACATTGATGGGGCAAAAGGAATTTGGGCCTGAGAACAATTTTACTAGAAAAGATCAAATGGGGCTTTAAGTATCTTCTTTTCTGCAGTCTGACAAATACGCACACCTTAGGGAATTTTCATGTGGCATGCTAAAATGAAGCACCAATCATTATTGATACTTGAAAGCAGCCACTGGTCATGCTCTGTCAACAAAGGTAATAAGTCTCAGAGTAACTCTATCAGGAGCTGATTTGGGGAGGAGGAGGAAGACAGTCCTGGAGTAGCTGGGGGAATCCCAAATTTCCTTGCTGCTCTAATGTCTTCAGACTTTCTATAATGTTACTATAAGAAACTTTTATGTATACCCATAGAAGGAAATGTGCTGCTGAGCCTACATTTTTAGTACAACTGAAATAATTAGAAGGGAAAAAAAAAAGGCAGCTGCATTCTCTTCCAGTGTTTTAAAACTCCAATTTCAAACAACTCCCATTAACTTTAACTTTATAGACTTTGCAGAAAGGGAGTAACATCTTCTTGATCTATGTTCGTAGACTTTTGAGTCAAAGAAAGTGAAGTACATGTTTTCAGAGGGAAAATTCACACTTGAAACTTGCAACACTTAGCTGAAGTAGTTTCTAACACTTGCACAAAAATCTAAATGGAATAAAATGAGTGAGGATTAGGTAAATGAACTGTGTGGAATGAAGGGGCTCACAAGTAGCCTTAACACTTTTGAGTGAAAGGAGGTAAGGATGAACTTGTATATGCTTTGTTGCTCCCATTGGACAATGCCTAATGCAATCCATGAGACAATGGATGATTTTGAGTTGCTAAAAGCTAACCTGGGGATGTGGTACAGCCAACTCTGCTGGACATTTGTACATATCCATCCCCTCCAAATCCTCAGGAGCCATGAATATTGAGTTTGGAGATTCACTGGATTCATACTGTGCTAATTATATAGAATTCAACAAAAATATTATTCAGTATTATATGGTAAACTAACTTTTCTGCCCTTTGACTCATAAAATGAGAGATTAACTGGAAGATTCAGTCACTGGTTATTCTGGTGAATATTCAGATTGCACAGATATGTACAACCTGGCTGGCTTTTTTTTTTCTCTCACAACATTTATGAAATTATAGAAGAGACATTAAAGGTAAAACAGTCCAATCTCATTTTTCACAAAAACAAACAAACAAACAAACAAACAAACAAACAAACAAAACCCGAGACCCAGGGAGGTTGTGACAAGCCAAAGGTTATATTGCTAGTTGGTGCCATAGCTCAGAACAGAACCTGAGTTTATTCACTCCCAGTCCAGTGCTTTTTAGATCAAAACCCTAATGCCTTTCTTCTGTTCTTATTTTGTACACCTGGGGCTTAGTGTGACTGAGAATATCCTTTGATAAATCTCAACACAGACCGTTGCTTGGTCATTTGTATAATTAAGTGTTTGAAACAAATTTTTAAAGATGGAGTTAAAATGGCACAGAGAGAAAAGGTTATCAGGTTTAAAAAATCAGACAAAATACTGTATTAGCCGCAAAAGTGCTTGAAGAACACTTTTAGTGAATCTAAATTATTATTTTTTTATTATTAATCATTTGAGAATCAGAACTCTTCAGTGTTTTTCAAATGTTTAATAATCCTATTAAATGTGACTTTCAGCACAAAATATGAAATATGAAATTATAGAAATAAATGAATGATTAAGATAAATAGAAATAAAATGCTGCATAGAAACATTTGATTTTCAAATATTTAATTTGATAGGATGACTTGATATGATTAAATACTTTCTTTGTGGATTAGGTACAGCTTTCAATAAAATTAGCAAAATATTATCTATATTTTACATAGGAACCATATGTAGCCCCCAGGTGAAAATTCAACAACCTTTTTCTAAAGAAAATAAAATGCTTTCAGTCTCACCTAAAAAATTTTGAAATTTCATTTAATCCTATCAAAAATTAAAATTTGTGAGAATTTAACCCATAGAATCCATAAGTTGTATGAGGCACAACTTGATGAATAAATATAATTTCACTTAGGAGAGATAATAGATGTACTTAAAAATATTTTCTCAAAAGTGTGAATATAATGAGCACATAGAATTATTTTAGAGGCAGACATTGATGCTATCTTAAAGTTCACATGTATTATCCTAAATCTTTACATATATTACTTTAAAAACAGGCTTGACCAAAGGATTAAGTCAGTTTCATATATTCAAGGAAAAATTCTGAAATTAACTTTTAACATTTTCTAAATTACAATATTTAAAACCAAATTTTACTGTTTCATTTCTACAGATTAATCAAGACTATTAATCTGTTTTTGCTATTGGCAATGCATAAATTATATAATATATCATCACAATTTTTCATAAGTAAATATGTACATTACAGAAATTATCAGAATGTATTATAGACAAGATCCAAACTGATGATGGCTTATATACTTGGGGAAAACAGAAAGTATCTCTAAATATAATGTAAAGCATTAAAGTGTTTGTATTTCACTAAATGAAGCACTGATTTGATATATAATCCATGTATATATATTTGCATGTATACATGTAATGCATACATACTTATTAATTCCAGCAAGAACACACTCCTGTGCTTATTCCTCATTACATAATTAATTTCATTCTATCACTATAGCTACTAGGATAGTTTCCCACTCCTCAGACTATATACCTCAGGAAATACTTTGGGGACTTAATGTTATGATGAGATGTGACATCTTAAAAAATCCTAAAGTTAAATAAGTTAGAAGAAGGGAGAGGGCTATAAAGATCAGAGAACTCTGTATATAATGGTATTATAGATACTCTTTAAGTAGCTTAAGGATAAATATATCAAGAAGAACATTAGATATACATGTATGTGTGTGTTTATGTCATAAGCATACATGTGTATATGTATGTACCCCCCATACATGCATGTTTGGAAATTAAAGCTATTGTTAGAATAATAAGTAAAGAAGAAACAAACTACTAGCCCTGGGCTCCTGACAATTATAAATGAAAAACTTAGCTTCTTAAAAATGTTGGCAACTTATGCAATATACTCAGTAGCAGACAAATTCTTACAAGTCCCCAGCTAATTATGATATTAGTTATTGCTTTAGAATATATTCCCTACAGTAATGCTGTTGTTTAATAAACCCCATAGGGCACTACTTCCAAGTTATATTTTTGTAAGATACAGGTGATTATATACATGCATACATACATGCCTGTGTGTGTGTATATACACACATGCATGGGCATGTAGACACAGGTGCACATACGTACATGTGTATGGATTCATGCATTGACACATGCAAGCATGTATGCTTTAAATAATGCCTTCACATTTTAGCTTAACACAAAGATCTGTTGGCTTGTCACTGTCACTCTGAAGATAGAATGGTTCTTACCCTTCCCCCAGTTAAAATTAATCAGTCCTTCCCTGATTTACTGATAATCCACTTTAGCCATGGTGATACAGATAAGTATGTCTTTCCTGTGAACTCAGTATTTTGCAGTTAGTCAGAACCCTCATTGGTAATTTTGACATTGACATATCATGGTCTTCCAGTTACTTAAAATAAATTACCTTTAATAGCAGAAGCTATAATAGTATCAACAATCTCTGCTGTGACTAAGCAAAAATGTGCCGGAGTCTCCTCTGGCTTCTACTGCAAAACTGCAAACCCAGTATTTTCAAGGTAAAATGAAAAAAACTGATCAAAATGAAATGTACCATTTTGCTGTGTGGGTGGCATCCTCCTTGATGTACTGTAAGTTCTTTCAGTGATAGACATATGAAATGAGTTTCAGACTGTGTTTGAAAAATGTATTGATATATGTGTAACATACTTTTATTTGTCTGTTCCAGTACTAGTGACACTATGATTACTGGTATTTGCAGTCCTTGCCCTGGAATTCTTCCAGGCAGTTTTATTGTATTGAAATGGCTCTTACAGTTCATTGAGCATCCAGCATAACATTGCTGAATATGATTGGCGCGTTTGCATATATTTATTCGAAAAAAATCAGGCAGTTAAACTGCATAATTATGGGAAAACGAATCATAACAATAAAAGACCATTTAAGTTAACAAGCTTTGTGATCAAAGGATAAATACAGGTTGGATAAATGAGACTCTAGATGTAACTAATCTACATAAATAGGCTTTGGTCTGATTAGAGAAAAGGAATATATTAAAATAATTTAGTGGTATTAAAAACATTTTGCTTCAGTCATTTTTATAACATCAAGACTTACACCATCTTATTTTTTTTTCTTCTTAAATTTCTATTCAATTCACTAGCCAGGAACACTATTGATGGTGGAAGGCCGATGTGAAGCAGCTCAGGTAAACAAAAATACCATTTCATAAGTTTCCATTTAGTTTTTGAACACGTTGTGTGTCCAAAATGTGTAACATTTTAAAAACTTGAAATGCCTTTTTGATTGATTTTTAATTAAAGAATAACATTAAAGGGACAGTTTCTTGTTTACTGTCTTTATCAGCTAAAAGCAGCCTTTGTACTGTTTGAAAGCTGAAGCATTAAAAATCAATTTCAAGTCTTCAAAGCTATAAACTCTTACTTGCTTTGTAGATATATACTGTTTTAAAAACCATTGCATGCATCCTTGTCAAAGAAATTAAAATAAACAGTAAATAATGGCTTTGTCATAATTGTGAAAGATTTAAATGTATTCTTAATGATAGCTAATGACATCTTCAAAAGTAACTCTTTAAGAATCACACTGTGAAGCCTTCAAACTATTTCTTCTAACAGTATTCCCTTTTTAAAGATTTTCTTAACTTTTCTTGGCAATAATTACAAAATAAACATGGTAATTCAAATATAAGACATTAAGCAATATTGTTACTTATAAGATTTCTACCTGCATCATTACAGATTACTAAGCATCCATTTAAACACAAAATTGTAGCCTGCTGTTCAATAAAACCTTCTGAAGTACACAAAATTGAATTAGGAAGCATCCCGAGCGCCAATATTTTAACTCTGTAAAATAGTCAAGCTATAGGTCTTTTAATGTATGTGGATGTAAAGGTCCATAAGATAGCAAAGAATCTTTCTTATTAAATGATTCTGGCATACATAGTAGAAGCTTAGAAATGTGAACCCATTTAGCACAAAAAGAGTTGTGCTCAGAGACTACTTACATTCAAAGCATACAGTTTACTTAACCTAAACAGTAACTCTCCATTTTCTACAAATGGCCAAACAAATATATTCCCCTAAATCTGTTAATTTCATTTAGCTTCATAGTGCATGTGATAGTAGTCTATTAAGCTAATTCTGATGATTGAATATTTGATAGATTTGCTGTTTTGCATAACACTTGTATAATTTGATATGCAGATTTGAAGATCATAAGAACAATCCAGCTTTAATGATCATGAGCAGGATTATCTAGACACAGCTGTACAGCATCTAGTCATTATGCTTTTTACTGTGAGCTCATCATTTCAGTAGATCAAAAATAATAATAATAAGTATAACTTTTAGTACCTGGAAAAAAGTTTAAAAGCCTAAAATATTGCTATAAAAATCTTTGTGAATTATTTCAATATTTGTACTGCCCTTCAAACCAACTAAATGAAAGGAAACCTACCGTATTAAAAATAAGTAAGATTGATAACTTAGCAATATGCTTCTAATTGGTTTCATTGAATACACACACACACACACACACACACCAATTCATAGAGATTTTCTAAATGGGTTTTAAAACATTGTTAGATGTTCAGTAGCCTACCAATAGCTAATAGAAGAAACCATCTAATTGTAGATGAATTTTGTTGTCATGTTTTCTTGGGACGGCAGTAGAGCAGGAAAGCTTTAATTTTTACTATAGAGCTATGGATATATGTCTTCCTTAAACTTACATGTCCCACTGTCAACCTTCAGGATTGAGAATAATGATGAAGAAAAAAGTGTAAGTCATGTGGAGTGCAGAGTAATCAACCCTCCATCATTTTTATTAATGACAGTGGGTATTAAAAAGTACATATTAAGTTGAATTCACATAGCTTTAAGGTAAGGTACTAATCAGTCAACTGTTTAGCCAGTGGGTATGAGATGGTAATTGTTTGCTTTCCAGGTCTCTTTCCAAGTCTACCCAATTCTTCTGTCTGTTTTATAAATGGGCTATTTTAGTTTTAAGCCAACTACTGATCTCTTTGTGTGTGTGTGTGTGTGTGTGTGTGTGTGCATGGTGTGATCACATCAAAATGGTGAGCTTAAGAAATAATAATAATAATAACAAAAATAAATCTCACTTTTTTTTCACAATGGAGTTCAGATAGAAATGGTACTGGGACAAAGTATCATTCCATTATTATTGTCATATTTATTCTTCTATGGACTATTGCCCAGATGGATAAAATAGCTGGTTTTTAAAAAAAATTGACCAAAAGTAATATCATCAATATCATTCATCATTATAAACATTATATGTACTATTCAGGATTAGATAAATAATAACAGTAAACTGGCACTTATATGTGTGGAATCTACCTATCCATCCATCCATCCATCCATTCATCCATCTATCTGTCTATCTATCTATCTATCTATCTATCTATCTATCTATCTATCTATCT